TTGAAATCCCGGATCCTTAGAAGAAGCTACTATTCGGAATGACTTTGAGCACAACAAAACATTTCCCCTGAACTAAGTTTCAACGATAGTTGAGGATTTGCAACTAGGTCACTGCATTGCAAGTCTATACTAACATAGATAAAGTTGGAAATATCTAGCTTTTAGCTTTATGACTGAAAACTCACCCTGGGTGAAAGTAGTTTCGCTACACCACTGTCCACTAGCTCATCATCGAATTTTGGCCGCTTGATGTCCCTCGTGGAACGTCGCCTTCGCTTCTCCGAACTATCATCTTGGTCACTAAAATCCGTTATTAGTGCCTGGATCTCAGCAAAGCAAAAGATGCGTTACCTCACTGATGAGGCAGCCTCTGACGGTGCTCTGGTCCGAAACGCATCGGAAGCCGGTGAATATTGCGGTTCAGCTGTTTTTTCCTTGACTGTTACTTCTTTATCTGATGGTATGATTATGGTAGGCTGTTGGTTGACCTCTGGTTTGCTTTCTTCTGTGACTGTCGCTTGCTGTTCAGTTGTAGGTGCCGTAGCAGCCTCAGCTACGGTGGTAGGTTCTGTTCCAGCAGAACCACCATCAGCAGAGCTCATAGCGTACTCTGTGTATACAAAAAGATTACAAAGGATATAAAAAATGCAATCAAAGCCAGGCAAGGTGAAAAAATAGGTGTAAACTTTGCGGAAATGAAGGTACTCGATCCTGAGTTATTCATGCAATGCCAAGCAAATTCCAAAGAATTTATTGAGAAAGTTCCATAGAAATATGTACATAGCGATTGAAATGGCAAGAAGAAAGACGCCTGAGGCAACAAGAACATATCATCTTCCAGTTCAAATTCGCATTTATTCACGAAATACAGGGACGCTACTTTCGCAATCCTCAAGAAGATTTGCAGGAAGTTTTCATCGCCTCAAACTCTAGCCAAAAGCATCTAAACCATCCCAAGAGAGCTATGCGCGATAGAAGCAAAACACTGTTCGAAATAAGAAAAGATACGAAGACTCCAGTAATGAAGGAAGCTCGACTATAACAAAATCGTTGTATGTGAAAAACGCAAAAGAAAAACAACATTTAAAAACGGGAACAGAGCAGAATTACAAATATTTGATAATTGACCGGGCGACACATGAGTTTGGAAACAACTTCTGCAAAAAGAACAGAATCTGAAATCTTTCATGAATCTTGATGGCTGAAGCTGACAGAGAGCTGCTATGCCATATTTAGCCATTTGAAAACATTTATTCATTGGTAAAAGTCACTGGTTACCAGAATATTCCCGCATAGAAGACAACTTTTTCAGTGCAAATCGGCCAATTCTTGTGGTAAAGTGTGATCTGGATGGCGACTCTCGAAGTGCTGCTTGTACGATTTCAAATTCACCATTTGTGCCATACATACGGAGCACTTGTAGATCAAAGATTTCTGTGCGGCTCCCTTATGATCGAATGGTTGTGACTTTCTCTGGGCCTCGGCCTTTTTCTGGGCTTTCTGTTGTGCTTGAAGTTTTGCGGGACCACGTGCCATCAATGTCTGAGTAATGAAGAGTGAGTTTTCTCTGAAGGTGAACCACATATACGAGAATCAACGCAACAGACACTTAAATGAATTCAATATACAGGGTGTCCCAAAAAAA